CCTTCCGAAGGAAGACGTGACCAGAGATTTTTATGCCTCAGAAAAATCCCACCGACCTCAGCTGGGATTGAACCCAGACCCATTGGGGTATTAGAAAGCAGTCACGCTTACCACTACACCACCGGCGCCGGTTAGAATCAAGTTCAACTTGTTGAAGAACCTCCCATACGTCACTAAGAGGCGCATGTTGAACTTGTTTGGTCAGTTCCTGGAGCACAATATTGTTCCTGGTGATTGGAGGCGGGTGAGAGTAATAGCCATTAAAAAGCCTGTCACACCCGCGTCCAGATTGCAACTCGTACCGATCCATCGCGATATTGTCGTGCATACGAAAACTGTTGGAGAAAATGATCCTTTTTCGCCTGGACCACCTACTCTCAGATACTCAGTTTGGTTTCCGTAGGGGTAAGATAACGAACTACCGTCTCGCGTTGCTTTCCACAGAAATTCAGTTGGCTTTTGCTAAAAAAGAGTAAATATGTTCTATGGTCATATTCTAAATAACATATAACAAGACTTGCAGTATGAACAAGGCAATATATTATTTAAATCCATATTCATCAAACATGATAATGCTCCGAGGATAAATTAGTTAAATTCAAAGTGATAGATTTTTGATTTCAGTATGCTTCACATTTCGAGTTCAAAGCACAGTACATCAACAACGATGTGCAATACAATCTCAAATTTGCTGTTGATTTCATCGGGCTTCGATATGATCTCTTCCAAGGGATTTGCACATCGGTTTGCAATGTTTGGCAAGTAGTTCAAATTCAACAGCAAATCAAGCTGAACATTGCATTAGGTCCTAAGTAACATTGACAGATTCTCTTCGTCGACTTTCTCTTTGCATCCCCACGGCCATGTAAAGACATTCCCAGGTATTTTCAGCACACAGATCGATAAAAGAAGCTTTTATCTAGCATCTAATATGACAAACACATCAAGAAACGGTTCTGTGATCAAGTTATTAACGAAAGAGAAAGTCGACGAAGAGAATCGATCAATGTTTCTTAGGACCTAATGCAATGTTCAGCTTGAAATGTTTCCTCGGTACAAAACTGACAAATATCATCATCGACTTTTATTAATTAGTCCTAGATGATATTTGGCTGTACAGTGCCCTTTTTGTGTTTGATGCATTTGGCATCATAAACTTTCTTGTAACAGTATTATTCCAATTACAATCTATCATCATCTTTTTCTAGTTCCTTAATTCCATCTTGATGGAGCTTGGAGAGACCCCACAGAATGGTTCAGGCACAGACAATCAGACATAACACATTGAATAATTCTCACTGTAAAACATAGTTGCTAAAACATTACAGCCATCTGTTGAAAACATTGTGGTGGGTACTACGCTGAACAGATGGCGGTAGTGTATAAACGTCAAACGCAAGGGAATTGACTATGAACGCCACAGGTGGCGGCACTACCAACTATGATACTTTTAAATTGTCCGTTGAATGTTTGTTCAATGAACAACTTGTTTGTCTGTGGTTCAGGTCCTATAAATTGTTTAGATGATCGTGCAAGGACCCTTACATGATACCTTAGACAATTTGTCTACTTGGGCTATTCAGCTAGGTATCGAATTCTCCACGGAGAAAACTGAGTTGGTCGTTTCTAGGAAGCAGAGCCCAGCACAACCGAAGCTTCAAATTTTGGGTAAACCGATCACTCATTCTATGTCCTCCAAACATCTTTAAGTCTGGTTCGGTTCCAAATGCATCTGGAGATCCCACATTGAGTATCTGAAACAGAAATGCCAACAAAGGATCAATTTTCGCCGAACAATCACCGGAACGTGGTGGGGAGCCCATCCCCAACATCTTCTAACGTTGTACCGGACAACGCTTTTATCGGTTTTAGAGTATGGTATATAAACCACCGAGGAGGAGGAGGTAAACAAAACTAGAAATATATAAAATTATGTTGGTAAGAGCACTGGCTATAATAAATTTGAATAAACTATGCATGGAAAAGATTCTAGGATAATAACTAAAGACAAAATTTGTGTATTTGTATCAAAAATCTTTAACAGAAGCTGCCAGCCCCAAGTGAAAATAAATTCGATTTACTGAGTTTATTCAGCAAAATGCTGTCAGCTGTCAGAATTTTTAATTGCTGAATAATCAGTGAAGAAATATTGCTGAAATGTTTGCTGAATATCAGTAAAATGTTGTCATTTTGACAGAAGTTGGAATTGCTGAAAAATTCAGCAGCATTATTTTGCTGGAAAGTTTGCTGATCTTTCATCAAGTCTAAAATCAGCAAAATTCTGCTGAGTTTCAGCGATTTAAATTTGGTGTGTACGAATCGTACAAAAAATGCAAATACTTGCGACTGTGAACAGATTGACAGCTCTTTACTGGGTGTCCAGCAAACCGTTTATGTTAGCTGAATTTTTCGGTAAAAATATCGTTTGCTGTTTTTCAGTAAAACTTTTTTGTTGCTGATCATGATCCAGCAAACCGTTTTACTGATAATGAAAACTAAAATTTGGTGTGTATGGTGTATGCTTCTCCGACTTTAATTTGATGTATCCATGACGGCGGAGATTCGTGATCATCATCGCTCCAAGATTGCTCCGTCAATTTTCGCTGCAAAGTTTGGCCAAGTTGATTCCGCAACACCGTTCTTCACAGATTGATCGCTAATAGAGGCATCCGCTGGCTTTGGTTTTTATAACGAATTTCATAGCGCCTGTCGAATGCTTCAAGCTCCTTGTTCCGTATGTATATGTTGCTGAGCTGGCGGCAATACATAATATGTTAGAAACTGTCGCCCCACTTGCACCAGATCACTACTTTATTTTTACGGACAGTCTCAGTTCTGTCGAGGCAATCCGCTCCACGAGACCGGTAAAGCACTCCTATAAGACGGACCAAAAAGTTGTGGATCATGCTGGGAGAGGATTTTGTAATTCATTTCAAGTTCAGTAACAGCTTGGGTTGATTATGTTACGTGATTTCAGCGATGCTATTATGTCTAATCTAATGTAACACCAACACAGCCAGTTCTTGAAAGCATTCTGGAAAATGATATATCTTGTCTATTTGATACCTGTTTCACATCGAAGATGCGTCACAAATATTAAAACGGCCAGGCCTACTGTGCAGCATTTAAGGGGCAAGATGATTCAGAAAAAATCGGCTTCAGATGCTTCAGAATTTAATAAATGGATGAAACGTGGACATTCGTACCGTACGTTCCGATATTGGTAATTATATGATTGGTTGGTCGTTGGAAGCATCAAAGCTAGAAAGGTTCCATTTTCTTCTGGCCGTTGGGACATGAGCACTAACTCTTGTCCTAGCCTTTTATAACTTATGGCTATAGCGGCATTACTCGCTTTCTGAAAAGAGAAGAGGGAAAGGAAAAGGAGAAGGACAAAGGGAAAAGGATTATGTGAAATCTATGAACATAAACAATATTTTTATTTGAAATATATAATATAGAAATGCATAACGGCGCGGTGGTCACTACCCCAGTCTTGTCACTATTATTAATTCATAAAAAGTAACAAGGACTAAAATGTGTTCCTTTGATTACTAGAAAATCCTGATTCCCTAGTTTGAAGTTGTCACGACTAGGGTTCAGTGGTAGATCTTATACCAGTAACGCACCACAAAAATGTGATCAACCAACGTTGCATGTTTGAAAAGATAAAAAATTACAAAATGGAACGAACTCACCAAGTTTATCCAATTGAACCTGAAGGCTGCCTGACATGTGTTGATGTAGAAGTCCAAATTGTAGACGAAGCTTGACGAAGATCAACATGAATGATTTCAGCGATGCCATTATGTACAGTAAAACTGCATCATCCATTTCCTCTTTTTTTTCCAGCACCGGTGACGGTGTGGCCTATCCGGTTCGCTGTTTCGACGAGGATGCCGAATCACTGCTCAGTGGCGAGCTGGCCAACAATCTGCTCCACCACCATCAACGAAGCAACGGGCATCGCCTTCGCCCCAGCCCAGACTGCAATAATCAGCAACAGTACCGCAAAGGTGGTGTTGCGCGCAATCATCGCGACGATGAAGACGATGACGACGACGAGGAGGACGTTTTTGAAACGACGGTTTTCAGCCATTCCGCCAATCTGCTACACTGAGGGCACCACTTGGAATTGGTGAATCTGTGTGTTAAGATGATAAAGTCGGAGGTGATACTATACTTAAATTAGAAAACGAAGGAATAGGAACTTCGGTAGGCAATTACTGCGTCGTCGGAATACCTGTGTTGTGATTTGCAATTCCTTCCTCACATTCCTTATTTTACCGGTTAGGCTTTTTATTATATGAAATATTTTTAAGAAATATTATTGAGTTAAATTGTCAATTGAGCAAAGCTGCAACCTTTATCAAGCATGACTGATTTTTTAAATGAGTTACATAATAGAACAAGCATTTTATTTTATTTTTTAAACATGGTACCTCGACAACAATTATTGTGCATTTTGGTTTTACTTCAAGCAGAGTAGAACAATCCAAGTTCATTTAGTTTCTGGCAGAACAGAACAAGATAGTCAACTAGATCCAATAGTATTTGCAGATTAAAGAAGAAATGAGCAAACAGGACATACAGACTGAATGAACGTTTTGTATAGGAAACATTACGCAAGGTTGGAAGCCGAAGGCGTTTTGTGGGGGAGGCGATTCTGCTGGTAGTCTAGGACAAGTTAAATGTAGTGAAACCGCGTATTAGTTGAATCGGGTTATACATGCAGCAAAAAACAAGGTAACGTAGTATTCCTTAATAGCGTTTAAGTATCAATGACTAGAAAGACAATTTTACGTATGAATAGCAAACATTGTTTAACACAAGAATAAACCAACAGTGATAGGCGATGTAGGTAAAAACAATAGTATTGATGAAACTAGGAAAACAAAAATTAAACAATAACAATTTTGAAAGGAATGGCGCCTGTGTTGGAATTCGAAAATATCACATCCTTTGCCGTCATCACTTGAATTAAAACACCCCACAGTATTGTTTGGAATGATATCAGTAGCATTTATTATCAAAAAGTAAAATGCGCCCACGCCTTCGCAGTGGCCCATGGCACATCATCTGTAGCAATTCAAACTAAAAACTAAGTACATTCTCAGATCAGTTCACTTCAATAATACCACATAAAATAAAGGTAATAATACAGTTCGTGCGTAGTCCGTTCCGCGGACTAGGCAGCACAGTGCAGAGGATAGGAATTCAGTTTCGCACGTATTTACGCTTTCAGCCTTTTGTTCAAAGTTGTCTCAGATATGATAAAGGTAGGTGGTACTGGTAATTAGCACAGTCGTTCTTAGTAAAGTGCAGCAATCGTGTTGGTGAGCGCCTCTTGGATTCGGTCTACGTCGCTGAGTACGGATCGACTGTCTATCAGGTTTCGCGCGCGCAACCGATCGATCAGCAGTCGAGCACGGTCCTTTGGCAGCCCGAGGTCACTTATCAACGAAATTAGGTCGACGTCCGTCAGCAGGTGTGGTCCATTGTGCGAGGGGATGGTACTGGTACTTGAAACCACATTGGCCGACACAGTGTTCTGCTGATGTTGAAGGAGGGATGAAACTGGTACCGCCATCAGTTTGGCAGCCGGTTGGATTTTCGATGAGCATGGCGCCCCAGTCCGACGGATGGGAGCACCACTTGTCGTCCGGCTGGATGGTGAGGTCACGGTGATGGGTTTACTCCGTTCTTCGGGTTCGTCATCGTCAATTTCGATTACGATCGGTTCGATCGGAAGAGCAGTGGCAACTGAAAATGGGAGTGACAAAAGAGGATTTGTTCGTTAGTATTGTTCCGCTGCCATAAAAACGTTATCACCATCTTTGTAGATGTTAAATACCTCTCCCGGAACGTCGTCGTTTGTGTTGGATTCGTTTTTCAATCATTTTCCATTCTACTCAAGTAGAAGCGAAAGATCTCAAAGATAAATCAACGAATTTACGTAATATACCGTAGGTATAATTGAAAATAGAAAAATAGATCTACTGAAACAGATTATTGGATCGCTTTGACGCCGTTGGTTGGTTAAAATTGAATTGTATCCTGTATCAATAGAAGTTCGATGAAGACTGATGATTCAATAGACGACGGGTCTAACAAAGGATAATTCAGGCGAAACATTTGATAACGGCACAAAACCTTTAGTAAACAAAAGTTGTAAGGCCCTTTACACGCGAACCGAAGAACGCCCACGTAAACCAACAACATCATCGGGCGGGGGAAATTTTCCCCTTTCTGATTATTGTATTGGTTTGCGTGGGCGTACTTCGGTTCGCGTGTAAAGGGCCTTACAACTTTTGTTTACAAAAGTTTTTGTGCCGTTATCAAATGTTACGCCTGAATTGCTTTGGACTTCTGTGCCATTCGTCGTGTAAATGTATGTGTATGTGTGTGTGTGTATTAGAGTGTTTCAGCGTTATATGGAAAAAAATCAAGGTTGGAATTTCAAACGCTACCCCCTGAAATGGTAGTTTGGGGGTTAGAAACACCCTGCCAAAATTTGGTTCACGGGAATACGGGAATACCATCGCTCAAATGGCTTGAAGTTTGTATGGGGAAAATCGGCAAAAGGTATGGGGAAACGAGCCACTTTCACATTCGCGGCTCTAGGTGGTGCTGTAGTTGGTATTTGGAGTATTGGGACATCTTGGCTGAAGGTGGCTGAAGACCGGGTGTTATTGGCGTTTCAAATGAACACCACCTGCTTTACTGTTGGGGAGGGCCTATAGCGAGATTTTTTGCGGTTTTTATTCTTACGAACAGGCATACGAAAAGCAAGGTTTGCATGGGTATAACTTTTTTTGTTTCACCATGAAATTGACTGAAATTTTCACAGTAAGCAGAATTTTTTTAGAAATTATGATCTACTGAAAATTATAACAGATTGGCCAAGTGGTTCCGGTTTTATTCCGCGATTCCGAGAGGGCATTAGGGGGGAGAAAAGGTACCAGTCGTATAGAACAAGTGATGCTGGAAATCCACAGCAACAAGCATCTATGGGTAATGCTGATTAATATTAAAAAAAATACAGCTATCCCCCCAAGAACGCGTTACCCACCGCTGCACCCGCCGCTTTTCTCGACGGGGTTTGAACCAGTCGATCTGATTTTTGGCATGTGAGTAGGGTCAATGGAGAACTAGTCACTCGCAGAAAATCAGATCGCTTGGTTGAAAACCCACAACCTGGTTCTAAATACTGAATGTCCACCGGAAGGTCCTCCGGTGACCCGGATCAACCTTAATCTGGATTACTATGTATTTTTGATCAAAGCAGGCATCTACATGGAATGAAGTAAAATCACCGACAAACCGACATGACACTTAATTCTGACTTATGCCCGAAAATCGTAAACGGCCAATTTAAATGTGCAGTGATCCGAACTTTCGGAACTTTCAAAACCATAGGTTTTTTGATCTAGATAAAAATAATTTGTCCCGAATAGATCAGACACGAACCAATTCATAACTTTTGAATGCTGGTTCATGGCTTAGCTAAATATTTCCTGCGAACACGGAACCAGATGTCAGTAGTGTGCTTTGGTCAGAAATTTTATTGTTTTTTCAATGGTCATTCGTGTCGGTTTGTCGGTGGTAAAATTGTGATTTTTGACACATAAGCTGGTTATTGGTTCCCAATAGTCACCAGATGGTCCGCCGGTAGATTCTATATGAAATGTAATAAAATATGGTGATTTTTGATATATGCAGCAGGTCGTTGGCTCCGAGTTGTCCCCGGATTAGCCGCCGGAAGATTTAGAAGATCCGTAAGATTGATTTCAGCGTTAATTTGATCAAAGTAGGCCTTGATTTTTCTCTGCGACTTACGAAATGTAGTCAAATTATGGTTAATTTGTCGCAAAAGCTATGTTCGGGCTTTTTTGTGATTTACAGTTCGAAAACAGTCCGAACAGAGAAGCCGTAATCAGGTGTGTATCAAGGGGTGGTTACACACTTATTTTGCACCAATTAGCATTAGCATCGAACAAGTTGCACAATATCGTAGGTGGTACGAATTCAAAACTATTAAGAGCAAGACGGATGTCTATTACTGGACAGATAGTAAGTAGGAAATAATTACTATTTCCCAGATAAAGACATATCCCGCTCCAACAGTTAAGGCTTGTCCTAGCCTCGTCCTTACAACCGGTAGGGATAGGAAAGGTATATTAGTCCAACATTTACTTAAGAGAGATGCAGAGAACTCTACGACCCCTCATAAATGTCTCGGGAATTTAGGAATTATGGTAGTAGGGAAGGTAAGCAATAGGATACACCCAGTCAGTGTTGCTGGCAAATGTAGTTTTTATTTTATAAATGTTGAAATTGCTGTTCAGAGCGTCTGCTGGAAGATAAGGTTGCTGGAATAAAATGAAGATATAACATGGTGAACTCACCGTCTTTGTCACACATATCTTTCACAATTCTGAGTAAAATTAGACTCAACTGTGTGTTGCTTTCGATAGACTTGTTGATACTGAGCTGTAAACTGCTAAGTGCTCAATTCACAGTGTACTAGTCTATTCTTCGTATCACTAGTGGCGCTAGCGTCAGGTATCATCGTGTCTTGGGGATAATAGAAGAGTGGACCATATTGTTAATTTATAATATTTGCCGGTGTAATCAAATTAATCATGTTTTGTTGTTTTTGACATCATCCACATCAAGAGGGCCAGTCACTTTTAATGTATGGGAATGGTAAGAAACCATTTGGAAGTGCATGAAAATTTTCACTTTTTATTCATTATCGTCTTTATCGGCAGTTTTAGATGCCCGAAAATTGCACGAGTACATTACTATGGTGATAAGGTAAACACTCGTTTATGTATTTGTTTTTTTCTGTGAAAGCATGTTTAGTCACCAATCGTGGATTTTCTGATATTCTCCATACTGCAAAAATGATTTTCCTACCACTGAAGGGGCGACATCTCTCGGATCTTCAGTATAGCTACTACTCAAATCATATAATTAATTTTATCGTTCCGTTGGAATTAAAACTTTTAAGAAGGATCACCTATACACTGCCTATAAGCGCATATCGATCCCCTATGGATTTTCGTCTTGAGATAACAACGCTATCCACTAACAATTGGAGTATCGAAAATGTAATTAATGTACTTTAATTACGAAATTTCAACTGTAATTGATGAGGTTCAAAAGTAGTTAATGTTCGACATTGGAATCAATGGAATTAATTTAATTACAGCCGTTGCCTGCGTTGGAGTTAAAGGTTATTGCGTGCCCCTAGGCCGTAGCTGTACCGGCAGTGCCAAGAAGTCATTGAACTGTTTTTTTGCTTGTGAATCATGCCTTATTTGGCAACCCGGTATTTTAACAGCTCTTCATTTTGTTTTGTTTTTCGAAACCTGAGATGACCCGGGAGTAGAAACAACATTTCCGTTCCGAGATGTCCGCCTTGCGGGTGGATTTTGCGAAGACGGTCCTGCAACATTATTGATGAATTTACGTTCGACCAGCAGATGGAAATGATATGAAAATGATAATGACGTTTTGCTACCATCGAATCGTATGGAATTTTTTTTTTGTTTTGATTCGCTATGAAAGTTTGACAGATAAAATGAGGGGTTCGTGGATTTTCCTATGTTTCAAGGGGTGCATCGATTTGCTTGGGACCGAAGATAGTACCAGAGCTGAGCCAAAAAGTTGAGCACGTTTCTTCGGGACCTACTGGTCTTAGAGTTACCTCTATGCCAATAGGCTAGTCAAGTAGTGAGCCAATTTAAAATCGTTAGTTTCCACCAGAAAGTCAAGAGACCTTCAAGATATTCCGGTAGCCTCTATAATCAGGGAAGTTCCGAGTACATGGAGGATGATCAGAGAACTCCAAAACAATCCCATTAACTTCAGGAAAATTGCAGGAACTTTTAAGGAATTCCGTGAAATTATGGAATATTCCTAAGTGCATTTCAGGAATGTTCCGGGGCATTGCGGGGTCTTCAAGAATGTTTTATGAATATCAGGAAAATTTTATTAGAACATCCCCCAGAACTCTCTTTCTTCCGGAATTATGTCCCTGTTTCTCCAGACTTTCTCCAGAAGTTTCTTCCAATCTACCTTAGGAAGTTTCTTCCGTCTTCTCCAGGAAGTTCAATTAAACTTCTACTAGAAGTTTCTTTCTTCGCCTTCTGGAAGTTTGTCCATAAGCCATAGTTTTTTTTTTACTTCTATTGAAAGGTTTTTCCGAGCTTCTTCTGACTTCTCCTGGAAATTTCCAGGAGCATTCCCGAATTTCCGAAACTTTTCTGGCTTCCTTTGGATGATTCTCCGATAGTTTCTTTAAATTTTCGCTAGAAGTTTCTCAATTCCTGTCTTGGAAGTTCTCCGGATGTTTTTCCGACTTTTTTAGAACTATCATCAAACTTCATCGAAGAGAGCTTATTTCTTATTTTTCTGGATGTTTTTCAGCTTCCTTCTGAAGCTAATTCAAACATTCCCGGAGTTTTCTTTCGGAATTTCGAATCATAGTCCAAAAGTTAAAATTCTCGCTTTCAAAAACGGAACAAAATATAAAATTAATTAAAATAGTAAATACCGATAAATACCAACCCTAATACACGTGTACCATATACTGACGATATCTTAGATGGTGCGACTATACCACATAAAATTGGGATGATATCCCGAATTGGTGGTTAGGCGCTTCTTATGGTTATTGTTTATGCGGGAATTCCTCAAAACCTTTGATACCAATAAGCTAAAGAGCCTGAATTTATAAAGAGACGACATGTAAAAATTGGAACAATCGATTGTCTGTCAAAGTCATAGGAAAAAGTCATTCCAAACGAGCAGAAGACCTGTCAAATGGATAAGATGTCACCTCTTTATAAATTCAGGCTCTTTACAATAAGCTTAACACAATTTGACAACGCTGCCTGCCATCAAAACAAACTTCACGGTAAATTAGGCTGACTCATATTTGAGTACCGTTCACTCAAATTCGCAAAAGCGTAGGTTACTCGTAGGATGTGTAAATTTTTATCAAATATGACATATACTCATATACGAGTGACGTTTACTCATATTTGAATACAATTTTACTCATTCTATGAGTGACCCACCTTTTTGGCGAATTTGAGTGAACGGGTTTCAAATGCGAGTTACGAGTTGCCGTATTAGATGCTAGATATGGGAAATGGATGTAATGTCGGCCTAAATGCCCCTAATTTGGGCACATACATAAATTCAGCAATCGACTAAATTTTCCATAGCGACCAAAAATATCCATTAGAACCATCCCAATTACGCGTTCATCTAGATAAAATTGATAAATATCAGATTTTCAGCGATGGGCCCAATCTTAGATCCATAGGCCAACATTAGAGCCATTTCATCTATTTTTTTTTTTTCTTTATTTACAAGGCTTTTAGCCATGGGCTATATTATTACGTTTTAGTTTAACTCCTTATTTCAAGTTTTATTAATTTTGAATTTATTTTTTGTTGTACAACTTGACTAGTCAAAACGACATATGTGATTGTTTCCATATAGGGGAAATGGCTCTAATGTTGAAAATTTAGTCGATTGCTGAATTTATGTATGGACTCAAATAAGGGGCATTTAGGCCGAAATTACATCCATTTCCCCTACTAACACGTAAATCAAAATACAAGTGTGATTTTTACCATTCCTGCTTAATGTTCACCATTATTTAACTAGTGCAAAATAGTGTTGTTAATGTTCTGTTCTGTATTTGACAACCGTTATAACATGTTATAACTGCTCAGTCTGGACAGCGCTTAAACGTATTGTTTCAAACCTAGTGTTACTCAATATGGCGGAAATGTTTGGTCCATTTGAAAAAGTACGCGACAAATAAATTTAAAAAATACGTTTACTTACTCGGTAGAATCGGTTGACAATACGAACGAGGATCCACTAGCGGACGGTTAGTCCCAATCTGACTGGGCGGCGTACGCATGATATTAGGGCTTGACATATTGTACTGGTAGTTGTTGATCTGGGCCATCCTTGGTTGCTGGGGCGGCGTCCGCAACTCTTCCTGTTGTTCCTGCAGCTGGGCAGGGGATCGAATTTTAACCTTTCGCTGCTGTTTTACCGAAAACGGTGGTTGCACCGTTGGAAGCGACTTAATTTTCTGTTTGGACTGCATGAATTGATCATTAAGCTGAGGGAGTTGGACCGGTTTCGGTAGTGCCGGCGGTGGCTCCAGAGGGATAGTTGGGATCTGTGGCTGCGGTTGAGTGTGGTCCAGCTTAACTTTCTTAACGCTCACCGTCCAGTTGGGGGGAGCTGGCGCTTTTTGAACGTCTATTTGATTGACAGTTTTCTTGGTGACCATTGGCGGAGAGCAAGAGGTCGGAACAAGCGGTGTTATGGGATCCATTTCGCACGGGATAGGTCGCATCGCCGACGGGATGCTGCCGGGATAGAGTGCAACTTTGTTCTTTCCTTCCCCGGCCGTCTTAGTGAGACAGAAGTAGCAATCGTTGGTGTGATTGCTCGGTGCATTCCATATCATCGGCACGGAAAAGGGAAGCGGCGGCCTCGGATATTGACCGTTCATCCACCGCAGCAGACCCTGATGACAATCATTGCACACCGAAGCCGGACCATGGACGTAGTTGTCTTTGAGCGTTCGGGTGGTGAAGTATGCCTCGTACGCCTCCACGACTGGGATGTTCATGATTGATCTCTTGTGGTGCGACGGTGTGTAGCTGCCGCACACAAAGCAAAACAGGTTTTTCGGATTGGCACAGGAGGATTTGATGGCGACAAACATTCTTCTTGCTGATATGTTACTAATTATAAATACTAACACTGGAAATCGCGTTGCCGGATGCACTAATAGAAACTAATCTTAGTAGATATTATCTGCACGTCCAAATTACGCCAAATTTTATCTCACAAACACATTCCGCTTTTCGCACGCTCCGGCTCCAACTAAAAATCTCTATTCCGAATTGCCACTTCTTCTTCACAAGTGTTTTAGTAGCAAAACGCTATGCGTATCCCTCCTGGTTTATACAGAACACTCTCAACCAACTAACAGCTCTTGGTGGATGTTCTTATGATTCCATTCTCTGCTTGAACTGCTTGTATAGAAAGGAAGATGTAGATATATAAACACCACGAAAATAAAATATCGTTTATGTTGTTCTCCGCGTTCTTGTTGCGTCTGCTGCTCTCGCAACAGATCCAAAAAACCACTCAGAATAGTATTTTGTTCTCCCGATCCGGTGGCTAATGCCTACATTAGTAGTTGTGTTGTACTCTCTCCCTACACGGATGGGAGGAATAGAAGCATACGAATGAAAGGGGAAAACAAGCCAAAAAGGAGGATGAGGAAAAGGTTCTTTTACCTGCGGGACCGTGACATTCATTCCTCTTCTCGTTGCAGACCTTCTTGCGCTTGTTGATGGCCACCGATGTCCGATTCTCTTATTTTTATTATGGGGAGATGCAAGTGTTCTTCCCATCAGCTATTAGCTAGCAGCAATACACTCAAGGCGGGCACAACACAAATACTCTTCTCTACTGGGATCTACTGGGATGCCGCGGGACGGACGAAGGCGAATGATTCGATAAGTATATTTTTACGCTCTCTTGCTCCCGACCGCTATATTTCAGTGTGTGGGAGAAAGAGGCAAACGACCGCCCGCCGACCCATCATAGGCTTGAACTGTTGTACGGTTCTGTAGTGTTTCCGCTGAATTTTAGACGTTTCAAATTTGAAATGCGCGCGAGGAAGAATCATGCTTTCGCTGTATAACAGTTGAGAAGGGACATGGAAATGGCGCGCTTATGATTACACTGAAAAAATGATGTAGGAAAAACTGTCGAACCACTTTACGGAATCCCTTTATGAAGAGCTTTTTGAATGTGTTGATTTATTTCCACTTGATTCCGTTATAATTGCTTATCTTTTGACAGATACGCTTATTTCGTCTACTACTTGCAGACTTCATCGGTGCCAGTGGTGTTGAGTACACTGATAGGTAAAATAAAGCGCCCAAGATCACAGGCCAAGATTTACCAAATTAACAATCTGGCCCGTTTTGTTTCTTGTTTCTTCCCCAGAAAAGAAAAGATTTTGTTGGTCATTTGATATTATATTTCAGTTTTATATTACAGAACAGGTGTCCATAAATAAACAAGTCCGCAAGTATCTTGCACACTGAATAATACATCTTCTGAATACCAATTTTCTCAATAAATTTTACCCATATGATTTAATATATTTTTCATGACAAAACTCTCTGATTAGTTTCACTTTACTATTGATGATACACTACGTTTACTTTTATGGAACTATGTATTTATCAATTCCAAACCATTTTATAGCTCTTTAGAAAATGACAACCTTCAAGTTTTCGAGCACTTCGTTCATCATTTAAAAAGTAAAAGGGTCTATTATGCAATCCAATTAAACCAGTCGGAAACTGTTAAACCTTATCGAAGAATTGTTCGACCTGAGTTGAAGAATTTCTCGTGATGGATTAAAAAATCGGTGCATGGAACGTTGAACTACCGATTACAAATTTATAACATTATTCCACACGTTATTGGTGGGCGTTGGCCAAATTTGGATTTTTCAGATATAATCCTAAATAGGACCTAGATTATTTAATACTCTAGTAACCTCAAGTCCGTGCTCTGTCACAATGTTTCATTGTGATTAATCAACACTCAAAGGGGGGTAAAATATCAAATTTGGGGTGGATTTGAAAGAAAGGGAACTTGGAGTGTAGAGCGCACTGCCCACTGGACGATTCTGAAGCCTGGCCAAGTGAGTGGGGTATGGGTTTATTTGATTGAACGTCATTTCCAATATATATATAGATACATTCATACCATTGGCATTTTGTATTTGAGATAAGACAGAGACAGGATGCGGAGGGCCCGCTTAGGGGAAGCGTAACCCATGTTATGGTTTCCATTTATTATATAGTTCAGATAGGCTGGAAATGACAGGTTCATAGTGAGAAAATGTACTATATGGGGCCCGTTCACTGATCAAAATCAGATTTACATCGTCAGACCCTGCCCAAGAATAAGGGGATTGACGATGTCTTGTCAAGTTTTATTTTGAATTTGCGTTTTGCATTTAATACTCTAGTAAATCTCGCGTCCGTGCTCATTCACAACAGTGTGAGGTGTCAATACTCACTGGGTCATATGTCTTAGACCAGTTCCAGATTAGTTTGCTATTAATATCTTCTGCATCGCAGTTCGCGATAGATTACTAAATATGGGTTCTCTTTTCCGACCATAATAGTGTGAGGGAAGGGGGTGAGTTCTGGATCAACAATGGAGGGGGGCCCATCGGCATTTGTGGGCAGACCGTCCAGGGCCCGTTCCTCACGGATCGGGGGCTGCTCACGCGGGCAAACACCGTCTTCGTGTAGGTGGAAGTTTCCCCTATCCGATGATGGTGTTGGTTTGCGTGGGTGGCCTTCGCTTTGTGAGTGAGGGGCTTTGGAGCGGTTTGTTTACGAGTGCTGATGGGCCCTTTTCTATTGTTGATCCAGAGTTAAACGTTGCGACATGAGAGCGAATAGAGGCAAATAAATAGGGAAGACAACACCATGACCCAAATAAGTAACCAATGCATGCGGCTCACACTTAACTTGTTCTATTTCTTTCTTTCTTCCTATCATGTACTAATATTAACTGCCTGAGGACAAATGGGAACACGACCAGAAGATCAATAGGAGAAAAAGAAAATTCGAACAAGAAAAGAAGAATTAAACTTGCACCGGCAAGAGGAAGCAGACAGAAAAGATCATGCCGGTTGGAGACAGCCAATGTATACTGGACGAAGCTTGTATCTAGGAAAAGTCGTATGTGCAGGAAACCGTAAGTAGGATAAGAATCGTAAAAGGTGTGTGCTTGTTTGATAAGATCCTAACTTTACTTTAAATACACGGTAGGAATCGAATATCCATTTATGATTAAGGTTTTGCCCATTTTTCAGTGGGAGTGGCAATACTCATTGATGAGTGATTTATCGTACCCATTTATTAGTAACTGTTAGCAGCTAATTATTAATTGATTCACCTATTTTACTTCACATCAGAACCTCATTTCCTTCAATTACTACTCCGTCGCAGCACACACCTTATATGGATCGCTAACCTTTATTTAGTTTCAGCATTTTCGACATTATACCCAACAAACAATTGCCTATTGAAGAAACGACTTCTTGACGATTTATTCAACTGCATGCTTAATAATACTTGTACTATTTTTAATAATAACTTCTGTTCAGGCTTTGTTCACACAAATCTGGAGAATTTATTCAACCACAACATCGAAATATTTGGTGTTGAATAAGGTATGTCGAGAAGCTTTTATTCGACTTACAAAAGTTGTAACAGAGCTTATTCGATCAAATTTTTGATTATTCAGCGTTTATTAGACCATCTGTACTTCCTTAAACAGCGATGGTATAAAGGTGTATATAGACGCTTGATTCTCATGTGAAATAATGTTTAATTATTACATCATTATACATTTATTAAACGATTATTCAACTAGGGGATAATTAATCAGAAAATAAGAACGGCACGAGCAGGGTTGTGTTCGTTAGTGATTTTGTTGTGTCATTATTTCTGGCGAATTTATTACATACATACATACATACATACACACACATGTCGTTAAATGGGATTCGAACCATGAACTTCCGATCACCAGCCGCTTGCCTTGCCATCTGAGCTATCCTAGAATACATCATATGAGCAGCTAAATAAGCAATAAAAGCTTGAATCTGAAAACCTTTCAGCACTTCCAGCCGTAACTCTAGCTAATTCAAGGAGATGTGAGAATGATTAATTCAAGAGCAAATTTTCATTACGTCGAATGTAACAAAGGTAAACAAAGTCGAGCTATCAGTGTCAATCGATGCTCCTGCTATTACACTATATACTGTCCGAATATAGGATCACATCCCATTTTTAAATTTATTTACCAGTCGAATTGCTTTTTGACGTAATCACCTTCCGATCAAAATAGTTTTCGATGTTACTTAAGTCACCCGATTTCTATGGAGATGCCGTTTGCCTTAAGTAACAGCACTGAGAAACCCGTGAAAAGTGTACTTTCGTCGTTTTGCTTTCTCATTATTAAAGTGAATAAATCGAACTGTTTGTTGCTAAGATGATTTCGGTGGTCCTAAAATGATGAATAGGCTGCACGTAAGGAGACGTAATTGATAATTCTCCCGAATATCCTGGTAAATACACTTTGACTTAAGTAACAATAGGGGCCACCAAACGACGTATAATAACTTTTGACTCAAAAACCAGTATTTCTTAGCATGAAAGCTAGCAATTTGCCTTTGTATGATTAAAACTCGGCTAAATATGTTAAACATTGCTATCACTATGAGATTATATGTGTTTAATTGGAAATAGGAATAACTTTTCGGTCGTCAAAACAAAACTTTATTTTTCTCGGATCGGTGCGAATGTTACTTACGACATAATGAAAATTTGCTCTTGAATTCATTCATAGTTGTTTAACATGAGACCAACGTTACCTCTCCATCTCTCTAATTTCGATGGAAAGGATGCTATTCTTTTCGTGAGTGATACGATCTATGATTACGATTTAAATTAATTAGGAGTAGAACATAAATAAAAAAAGGGTTGAGGCTGGGATTGAACTCGCGACCTTCTACTTGGAAAGCGGAAACGGTAACCACTATGTTACCAATTTCGTTTTGTTGTTAGCCTGAAGAACTGTTGTGGAATAATGAATGAATACGCCATTTGTAAAGCATTTATAAAGCATGCAATTAAAACATAGACGCATAGTGGTATAAGAGCTATTATGCTGACTGTATTCACCTTTTTTCAGCAATATTGCTAAGCAATGCAATGGAATCTAGTAATGGAGCTAGAAAACAATTATTAGACGTATAATAAAGCATGTTATTAAATCAATTGAAACAGTCGGATTAAAGCGTCAATGTATGTGCAAATTACACTTATTCAGTATGTTATTAGATCAAACTTCTGGTGTTGAATCAGGAAGACAGTCATCGTTTGTATAGATTTTAATAAGTATATTAATCAAATCAGAGCAATCAGCGAAAGAAAGGCGCATCATCGATCTCAATGAGGTTTTCTGAGCACATAATTTGACAACCCGTTTTATTCAGCATTGTACACTGTTATAAAGCATTAATTCAATCTATATGCTTATTTGTGACTCTTGATTGGAGGCGAACCAGCCCAAGGCTGAAAGCCTCCCTAATAAAGATAAATAATAATATTTGTGACTCTGAATTGTTTTTGGGAAGTGATGTGGAATAATGAATCTAATACGTCGTTTATAAAGCATTTACAAAGCATTCAACTAAAACATGGACGCATAGTGGTATAAGAGCTATTTTGCTGACTGTTTTCACCTTTATACAGCAATATTGTAAAGCAATGCAATGAAATCTAATAATGG